TGCATTCCAGAGATAAATCCAGTAAAAAATAAATGTATACTTGTGTACGTTATGTGTATGTGTGTAACTGAATTTCTAAATTTTATTTTAGTTTAATATTTTTGTTTCAGTAACCTTATATTAGACTGGGCTTTCATTTATTGTTTTGTTTGGTTTTGATATTAAGGTTATTCTAGACTCATAGAAGGAGCTATTTTTTCCTTTTCTTTCTCATAAATAATTTGTATACAATTGGGATCATCTGTTTCCTAATTTTTTTTTTTTAGTATGAAATTTTTATATTTAGAATTAGCCAGCTGGACTCAGTTTAGATGATCCCAATTTTGTTGGCAACATCCAAAGCATCATAGTCTGGAGCCAGTCGAACATAACGCCTTCTTCTCCCCATCAGGCCTGATCAAGGTATTGACCTTGGCCACATCAATGTCATACAGCTTCTTCACAGCCTGTTTGATCTGGTGCTTGTTGGCTTTGACATCCACAATGAACATAAGTGTATTATTGTCTTCTATCTTCTTCATGGCTGACTCCGTAGTCAGGGGGAACTTGATGCATAGTGGTCAAGCTTGTTTCTCCTGGGAGCGCTTTTCCGAGGATATTTAGGCTGCCTTCGGAGGAGCCGCAGTGTCTTAGGCCTCCGGAAGGTGGGAGACGTGCGGATCTTCTTTTCCTGTGTGGCTGTGGACGCCATTTAGCACTGCTTTCTTTGCTTTCAAAGCCTTTGCCTTGGCTTCGGCTTTGGGAGAGGCAAGGGCTTCCTTCTTAGCTTTCAGCGCCATCTTTGTGAAACTCTTAATTTGTTTTTTTTTTTTTTTTTGTAGCAGTCACCTATAAAACCATCTGGGTGTGGTTGTTTATTTATGCGGTGGATTCAATTTCATTAGTCGTCACAAGACTACTCAGAGTTGAGTCAGTTTTGGTAAATTATATTTTTCTAGGAAACTGACATTTGTCTATTTCCTCACTCATTGGCGTAAAATTACTCATAATATTCCTAGTTTTAAAGTCATTGCTGTATCTATCTCTCTTTCTTCATTCTTAATATTGTATTTTTCTTTTTCTTAATCTAATTAGTCAAAGGATTTAAATTTTACTTCATTATTTCAGAGAACCAGCTTTTGGTTTTGTGAATCCTTTCTTTTGTATTTTATTTTCTTTTATTGATTTCTGCATTTTCCCTTCAAATTTCTTTAGGTTTAATCTGTTGTTCCTTTATTAACTATTTTTTAAACTTCTTGACTGAGCTACTCACTTTCTAGTCTTTTCTAATATAACCATTTAAGTTTACATATTTTTCCTTTAACTACTGTTAAAACCTTCATTCCACAAATTTTGATAAGTATTTCCATGACCATTCAGTTTTAAACATTTTTCACTTTCCACTGGTGCCCATCAACTTCCTTTGCCCTTCCAGATCCACTCATTTCGTCTTTCCTCTGCCCCACAGGCTGACTGTACAGACTACATCAGTTGGCGACTGTGCCCTCTGACCTCCGGTTGGGTTCTGCCAGTGGGGATTTCTGACAGAAAAAGGCAGAGAAGAGCAATGTCAGAGAGTTTATTTCTTTGGTCTCTTCTCTGTGAGACTGCTCAAGCTGATTATATCCCAACAGGTCTGCTTCTTACAAGATGGCCTTAACATTCTTCCAACTTTGGGATTCCAGTAACTCCTTCTCCTTGTCCCTTTGGACCTAGAAGTTCTGACTGTCCTACTGCTACCAGTCACAGATCCTCCACTGTCCCTTGATTCTCCTATATCTCTCCCACACCTTTAAAATTTGTTCCTTTATACATCATTTGAGTGATCATTATTACCTGTTGGAACTCTGAATAATACACTATTTTTATTTTGTCTTTGGTCCATTAGTTTAGAAGTTCGTTTTCAACTTTCCAAGTTGTATGAGTTTTTAAAAGTTATTCTTTTTAAACTAATTTCTAATTTAACTGATCTTTGAGAGTATGCTCTATATTATAATGATTCTTTGACATTTGTTGAGACTTGCTTTCTGGTCAATTTTTATTTTGTTCCACATGTGCTTGAATAAAATGAGTATTTTCTATATCTTTACTACTTTTGCCTGAGAGAAGGGGATTGTATAATTGCGTATCTGTCAAATTTCTTCTTTAAACATTACTTTCTCTTTATATATACTTGAAACTATGTTGTTAAATATATACAGGTTTATAATTATTTCATCTTCTTGGTGATTTGTTCTTTTTGTCATTATGTAGTGACCCTCTTTGTGCTTTAAAGCCTATTTTGTCTAGCCCTGACCAGTGTGGCTGTTTGTTGGGCGTCATCCTGCCAAGCAAAAGGTCGCTGGTTTGATTGGTTGCCTTGGCACATGCCTGGGTTGCGGGATTCAGTCCCAGTTGGGTCACATAAGAGAGACAACTGATCAATGTTTCTCCCCTCTAAAAATAAATAAATAAAATATTTTTAAAAAAAATAAAGTCTATTTTGTCTGAAATTAATATAGCTACTCCAGCTTTCATTTCCTTAATACTACCTCTATATATGTTTTTTATTTTTCCCTTCAACTTTTCCTTATCCTTATGCTGAGGTATATCTGTGTCAACAGCATATAGATGGATTTTTAAAGCTATGTAATCTAATTATCTCTTCTTTTAAACAAAAGAAATAGTGCCATTTTAAATTGCAAGTACATTTATCTAGGATTCAAGGTATAGTCATACCTTAGTACTTGTAGGCTTCAGAATTCGTCAAACCCTGTACTCTTTGCATTTTGACAAGAAAATAATGTTTCCACACTCGGCGTTTGTTTGGTACCCTTCAGTTTCAGCACTAGTCACGTTAATGACAAGTACCAAGGTACCACTGTATTTGGATTCCAGGCTCTACCCTATCATCGTGTGACCTTAAACAACTCTTTCTAACTCTCTGAATCTCAGAAGAGTCATAACAAAACATAAACGTTTAATCAGATTATCTTAAATACTAGCTTATTTTAAGATTATCTTAAATTCTAGCTCATCTACTCTGTCATTTCATTAAATTATAGTAACACATTACAAATTGTTTTGAGACAGGGAATCTTAAAACCAAAACTAGAATTAAAAACAAAACCCTAGAGTAAATTAGTGAAATAATTCAAATAGTAACTGATATTTAGTTTTGGGATATTTGCTCTTTGTCGTCTAAAACTTCAATTTTCCATGGGAAAAAAAATGAGTGTAAAAAATAAATAAAACTTCAATTTTTCATTATTCAATGTATAATATTTTTGCAGTTTAATTTCTTTTCTGATAATAATCCATTTTTTAAATGTATTTTCCATAATTTGGGTAGGGTATGTATTTAAATTTATTTCTTTGCGATTCTAAAGCTTTTATATATATTTTTATTAATCCAAAAAATCTTTTCAAGGTTTTATTATTAATTTCCAGCCACATTTTCATTTAGCTTATTTTTTAATTTTACAAAATGTTCCAGAGTTGCAGATGCCACAATCTTTGTCCCTTTTTTACATGATTAATCTAAAAATCACACCACTATATTTTTAAATTTTAAGACCTTGGAAATAAACCTACAGGTCTCATTGTTAGTCTCTCAATTTAATAAAGGTGTAGTAATAACTGCATCTAGTTTTTGTAGTCAATGGTATGATACTATTTTATTGGAAGCCTGATTTTGCATGGTTGTCTATAGTAACACAGTTGCGGGCTTAAGGCCTTTAGGAAGGAAGAGATCACATTATGTCTTGCTCTGGTTTTCCCTTCTTTTTGCATTTCTGTGTCAATGTGAACCGAACAGCTTCCCAAATCCATGACTGGTCCCTGGGATTCCTAAACCCACACAGAGAACTGCAGCAACCTGAAAATTGGTGCCAGGATCTATCTTTGTCATAACTGACAATGCTCTTGATCAGGAGTCTGCTTTCTTATACTCCAGTCATATCTTCCTGAAACTACTAACTGTAGCTACCTTGATTTCACTTGGTTATCTCTTCTTTCACTCCAACAGCACATTTATAGACTGTTAGGATGGGTCTATTCTCCAGATGACTTATCCCATTTTTTATTGGGCCATTTGCCTATGTAGATGCAAAATATGTGGGTGGGGGTGGGAGGTGAGAGGCTAGAACCTAAACTGAGTCTCTTTAACTTTATTCTCGGGCTGGGGAATCATCAGATTTGAATGCACCCCTATAAATGTTTTTTAAAATGTTTAAAATTAAAACAAAATTAAAAAATAAAAATACTTAAAATTTTGTAAGTAAAATACTAATATTTACTTTGTTTAAAAATAAAAGATAAAACCCCCTTCAAAGTCCTCTTTCACCATCCCTCCTATAGCCTTCCTTTCTAGGGGTATTTGTTTTGAGGACATCTTTCCAGTACTCTTTCTATACATTTCTTTCCTCTCTTGTATATACATGTATACATTTTCTTTCTACATAAATGACACCTCAAGTTTTGTAAGAAAACTAAGTGAAATCTTGGGGGGAGGCATATCTTGACAAACTTACTTAAGAAAAGCGGACTGAACAACAGTTTGTTAAAACCTATCATGTGTCAGACTGCACCCAGTGCTTTATTGGCTTAGCAAGAAGTTACCAGGGTCCTGGTAACTTACTTCTGTTGGATGAGTTGCCATACTAAGGTTAGCTAGCAACTAGTTGAGAGACTGGGAAGCAGGTCCGAAAGTCGCTTCAGGGCAACTATGTGAAATTTGTATTTTGGTGGGAGCTACAGGAGACCTAGCAGAGCTGCAAAAAGAAAAAGAAAACTATCAGTGGCAATTGGGGTTGTGAAACTTAAACGCGAAGAACCTACTACCTGCCGAGCCCGAAGTTTCCTTCGGAAACCAGACACCGAATGGCACTTGAGCTTGGAGTTGAGAGAACGAGAAGTTGCAAAGAAGGATGCGGCCGCTGGAACCAACCAAGCAGCCTACCAGGACAGCAAGAACCGCTTTCCGACCGGTCTAGAAGTGCGCCTGCGCGAATAGTCGCTGGGGGCGGGGCGTGAGGGGCGGAGCTTTGGGACCGTCAATGAGCCTGCGCAGACCGCGCGGCAAGGTGGGGGAGGGCGGTCCGTGTGTGTCTGTGTTGTTGTTCGGCGGCGGCGGCGGCGGCGGCGGCGGCGGCGGCGGTAAGATGGCTGCCCACGGGGGCTCCGCGGCGTCCTCGGCGCTGAAGGGGTTAATTCAGCAGTTCACCGCCATCACCGGTAAGAGACGCGGTTACCGGAAGGTGGAGAGTGGGGTCTGGAGCGGGAGGCCGGTCTGCCCCAGGCCTCCCTCTACCTTCTTGCATTCCTCCCTCGGGCTTTACCCACAGCTCCCGTCCCCTCTCCTGAGGAAGAGACGACGACGGCGTCGGTGTCCGGGTTCAGGTGGCACACTACCCCCGCCCCCCACGCACCCCAAACCCTTGTTCTCGGTCTCCTTGTAGTGTGGAGAGACACCCTCCCTCCCCCCCCTGTCAGTCCAGACCCGGGCCGAGCCCATTCGCGCCCGCCGGCCCAGGGACCTGGGGGCGGGAGAGGTGGGGGGCCGCACCCGGGCCACCGCCCTCCTTCATCATCATCTCTTCTCCGTGCATCCCTGGGGTGCAGTGCATCCCCTCACCTTCTTCCTTTCTTCTTCGGCCTGGTCATTCTCCCCCTGTCACTGGCCTGCCCTTCCCTTTCTGGGCCCCTCGAAGCCATCGCTGTGGCCCTGGCGTGTTCGGGCCCTCCCGCCTTAACCTCGAGGCTGGTGGATTCGGCAGCGCCTTCACCGATCCCGCGGGATAGGCCGCCAGAAAGTGGGGGATGCTGAAGAGTATCTTCAAGACCGAGGTTTAGAGAGAATGAGTGGGGGCCCCCACCTTAGCAGGGAAGGCCTGGAGGAATCTTGGTTGGCGTTTCCCACCTCCCCATAATAAAATCATAGACTGAGACCATGGCGCCGGGGCCTCCTCCTGATAACATAGGGATGGCGGCGGAAACTTCTTGAGAGAAAATCAGTTTCTGGATGTCAGTGACCCCCCAAACCCTCGAGCCCCCCCCCCCCCCCCCCGCCATTTGGACTTCTGCAAAGGGCACATGCAGAACCTCTAACCGTCTGGAGGAAAGGCCCTAAACCATTCTGTGAATTCTCTGACTTGTTTCTCTCTGATGGTGCCGAACTTTTTTTTGCATGAGTTATTAGAGGGCGGAGCAAATGATGTTCTCTGTGGAGTGATTTGAGAGAAGTGTACTCCATGTGCCGAGTGTAATTTTGCCGTTCTAGTTTATCATTTTGGAAGGAGGTCAGAGTGTTAGTTCCTTCCCTTAGCAAATCTAGACTCTATCTGGTAATATGTTGGATGCAGACAACAGTTCCACTTTTAATGTACGTAGTGTTTGACGTGCAAGATCTGGTTAAGTAAAATTTTACGTTTTAACTACTGCAGTTTGTATGAAAGTTGTTTTATAGTTAAAGCTAGTTTTATTTTTTGTTCTGCAATAATAGCTAGATGTTTGATGCATTAGCTTCTGGGCATGAAACATCACATCAGAGTTGGTCAAATAAAATTTGTAATTAAATTGGGATCAGGAATGGAATGATAACTTTTCTTAATATTTTTAAACTTTGGCCATTGGATTATTATATTAAAGATGTAATGCATTTCCCTTGCTAAGCAGATCATTCTTGTTGGGAAAGTTAGAAAATTCTTGTATATGTAAGTTAATATTGTTGATTATGTTTATATAGAAGGGTCTGTAGTGAAACATATTGAGTATGATTAATCTTTTTTATTCTGGTTATTTAGAGGTGGTTTAAGATGCCATCAGTTTAATTTCAGTTTTTATGCTAACTGCCTCCATTTCAAGAACTCAGATTGTTTCAACCTCATTATTTCTTCTGGCACAACATTTTTATTAGATACAGACAAAACTGAGTCGGGTGAGATAAAATGACTCACCTTATTGTTTTAATTCTGCTTCTGTCTGCTAGTCTACGTGGCTTATTTCCTGATCACAGGCCCCTCTTTCTGAATCTAGTTGGAGACCCTCAGTAGACCATGGTATCTGGAAGTCTGCAAAAGGGAAAATACCATAGATGTTCTTAATGTATTATGAATTCCTACTAATAGTTTTTGGGATTTTTTTTTTTTTTTACAAGTAGTGATTAACTATTAGAAACATGATTGACCCCGTTAGTCTTTTTCATGTATCCTAAAAATAAAATTTGGGGTTGTGTCCACATATATTTTAAATTGTAGTATTTATAATAAAAGTGTATTTGATATTTATTTATTCATTGTTGGATGAATTAAATTGACTTGAAGAGCTTATGCTCTGATTTCAAAACGTTTTCCTTACCTGGATTTTACTTATCTGCAAGCTCAGCATTCTGGTAAAAGCAATGCATTTTTAAAAATGCAAGCCTTAACTTTTCTATGGCATTTAGAAATACAACTCAAAGAGTTGTAAGTCTTTATTTCTCACTAAATAGAACAAATTTCTATGTGATATATGAGTATGAAGTAATGACTGATTTTTTAAATTATTAAAAAGCTACCACAACATGAAATACTGTTTAAAATTCTCACCTGAGGATATGTTTATTGACTTGGGGTAGGGCAGGGAGAGAGAAAAAGAAATATTGCTCTAAGAGACATTGATCAGTTGCCTGCCGCAGGCTCCCGGACTGGAGATCGAACCCACAACCTGGGTAGCTGCCCGGACTGGGGATGGAACCTGCAACTTTTGGAGGACTGGTGGCCAGTCCTCCAGCCAACTGAACCACCCAGCCTGGGCATGTGAAAAAAAGAAAAACTAATCCATTTTCATAACAACTATATATCTATATATATTTATATTATATATAATTTATATTATATGCTAAATATATATATTTATTTATGCTCACCCGAGGACATTTTCTTTTTCATTGCTTTTAGAGAGAGAGGAAGGGAGAGAGAAACATCTATGAGTGAGAAAAGCATCAACTGGTTGCCTCCCACACATGCTCAAACTGGGATTGGGATCATAGCCCTCTCTGACTGGGGATCAAACCCGCAACCCAGGCATGCACCCCAACTGGGAATGGATTCTGCAACCTTTTGGTTATGGGACAGTGCTCCAGCCAACTGAGCCACACTGGCCAGGGCAGCAACAATATTATTTATTTTATATTTTCTAATTCTTGTTTACATAATTTAAAAAAAATTTTTAAGTTCTTACATTGTAGATCATAGTGTGCATAATTTATAATTCCAGAATTTAAAAAAAATACTTGTTTTTTCCTTTTTTTATTATAGAATTCTGAATTTTTAGTTAACATTGTCATAAACATTTTTTCCATGCTCAAACTCTTAAGCAGTTAGGCAAGGGAAATGATGTTTTTTTTGAGGTAATCACTTTGAGAACTTATATACCTTTACTGTGAATGCTGTTAGAATCATTTGAAGTTGCATAGAAAACCAGTTCTGTTACTTTATAGTTCATTACATTTTATAGTATTGATGGGCTTTTTTTTTTTTAAAGATTTTATTTATTAGAAAAAGTGGAAGGGAAGGCAAAAGAGAGGGAAAGAAACATCAGTGTGTGATTGCCTCTCGTGTGCCCACTACTGAGGGCCTGGCCCACAACCCAGGCATGTGCCCTGACTGGGAATTGAACTGGTGACCCTTTGGTTCACAGGCTGGCACTCAATCCACTGAGCCACACCAGTCAGGGCTATAGTATTACTACTGTTTGATCTCCCTTGATGGTCATCATACATGACCTTGAAAGGCTGCTGACAGTGCAATATACAGATCATGTATCATAGAAATACACATTTGAAAAGCCATATGATCTTATTAACCAATGTCACTCAAACAAATTTAACTTTTAAAAAATCGAAAGTCATACTAAAAAAGTCATCAGATGTGGAGGAGGGGTAAAAAAAATGTCATATAAATTCCCCAGGTATGAGGGAAGAATATGCTGCTGGGTCTGAAGGTAATTCCATAAATGTAATTTAAAACAATGTTTTGAACTATGACATTACCCATCATCACCAACTTGGGCTGACATCTAGCCATACATATACAAAATACACAGATATCATCAGAATAATTCTTGAGGTGAGATACATAGACACTATAGAACAGATAAAAATAAACAGGAAAAAATAAAAAAAAAAAGTAAGGACAAATGTGAGGGAATAGAAAGTACTCTGAAAAGACAAGAGCTTGCTAGTACAGGATTCTAAAGCTTTGTGCATAGAAGGCATTCCTGTACCTAATGAAAGTATTGTATCTCCATTGTAAAAGAGACTTAATTTAATATTTCCCTAAAGTTGTTGCATGAATGCATATTTGTTGTAGAAATTAGAAACTGATGTGTGTAGTATTTGGTTTTGTGGCTGATTTCCATTCATATCTTTTTTTTACAATACATTTCTCTTGAGTTAATATTAAAAAAATATTTAAGTTCTTTCTAAGGAAAGGGGATTGCAAGTGTTATAGATATCAATAGAAAACTCTTGGAATTTTAATGACTATTTCAAAAGGTGATAATGACATTTGAACAGAAATTTAAAGAGGTAATTTTTTTTTTTGAGTTGTGAATGGAATCTTAGCAATGCATTCAGTATTTATTGATAGATTGCTATGTGCCAGGCATTGTTCAGATCCAGGGGATAATGCCATGAGCAGGACAGGGTATATGTCCTCAAAAGCTTCAAGTTTAATGTGAATACAGTCACATATGTGTATTGTAATACAGTGGGAAAATGTATTATGGAGCACAAAAGTGGGAGGTCAAGAAAGGCTTCTTACAAGAAATAATTTCTTAGTTAAAACCTAGAGGAGAGATGTTTCTAGCAGGAGGGACATGTGTGAAGGCCTGGAGGAGGTAGGGACAGACATACCCTCACAGACAAAAAGGCAAAGACAGTAGGTTTAGGGAATTGATAATTTCAAATGAATAGAGTATAGCTAGTGGGAGATGCAATGAATGGAGCTGAATAGATTAACTGAGTGTCAGATTGGGAAGAGCCTTGTAACTCATGTTTAAAAACTGTTGATTTTATTCAGAGTGTAGTGGGAATCAATGAAGTTTTAATTAGGAGAGTGACATAGTCAGATTTGGAATTTTTAGAAAAAGCTACTTGGCCATAGTGGAGAAGAGGCAGATGTAGAGATCAATAGAAGATTGTTGTATTAGCCCAGGAAAGACAGCTGGTGTCCTGACATAAGTCAGAGGCAGAG